GTGTGTGTGTGTGTGTGTGTGTATGTGTGTGCGTGTGTGCGTGCATGTACATAAGTATCCCCCCACATGCGAGGCCAGTACAGTCCATGCAGTGCTTATTTTCACGGCAAGACATGCCCTAGTGACAGCCAGTGCACCCATACGTCTCACAGTAACTGGTCCATACAAAGAGATGAGTGAACATATTTGATATTTGATATTTGTGTACGTGCTAGTATCCTATGTAAAGAGTAGCCAGTCTGTGTATGATATAAGCATACACAAGGTTTTTATACTAATAATTATTTCTGTCATGACTAATTCATGAACAGGGGAAAAACCCCCTTATTACAACCCCATTTACATTTTATGTTACCCTTATGTTTATGTAACTAGTAGCCAGTCTGTGTATACTATAAGCATACAGATACATATGTGTACACCACACACACACACTACATCTCATACAACCCCCATTGGCCGGCTCTAGTAAAACCCGAAATCCCAAAAACCCTAAAACCCTCACACTCACATATCAACACCCACCCACACACCAGGTGTCGTCACTCCGTCCTGCCTGGCCCTCCCCCACATACAGCTTCGCCTCTGTAAGCTAAATTCCCTAAACCCTAAAACCCCCAGAATCCTAAACACCCACCCACACACCTGGTGTCGTCACTCAGTCCTGCCTGGCCCTCCCCCACATACAGCTTCGCCTCTGTAAGCCCCGTCTTGCAGCCAGTGCACACACACGCCCTACAGTATCGCGCACCCTTACGCTTAATGTATGCGTGCTTTCCTACGTACACACCACATAGCGTGCACAGGCACGCACGGCACACATTGCCGCCCTTGGGCAGAACCTCGCAGTCGCCGGGGCTGACGTTCTCGAACTCGCCCTGGAGTAGTGGCTTGGCGCACTGAATTAGTGGGTTGTTCGGGTGAGTTTTGGGTGGCTTTACCGCACTCAATTAGTGTTGAACTAGTGAGATAATTGGGTGAATTAGTTTGGGTGCTTGGTGGCTCTAAGGCCCTAGGTTGTTAGGTTATTAGTAGGGACAATTGTTTGAAATATTCAGTGAGTAATGTTTGGGGCTAATTAGCTGGGGTACTACGTGTATTTGCCGCACTGAATTAGTATGGCTGAATAGATCAAGTATTTGGTTTTGCATATATATATATATATATATATAAATATAATACATATATATATATATTATAACTACCAAAATACTCAACACACACACACAGTATGTAAACTAAAATACTCCCACACACGCACACGCATACGCACACACACACACGCGCTTAT